AACAAGACCTACCCATCACAATAGTCACATACAACCCCTTCCTCGTATCCTTATACCAAAAAATCGCTAAAAAACAAGGATTACGACTGTCGTTCAGAAGATGTCCGTCTATGTTTAAGCTTTTACGCAATGAAAAAGATAAACCTAAGGAGGATAAGCTGCCAGGGGTATACGCTGTTCCCCTCGTGGACCACAGATTTGAGAGACAACTTATCTACATTGGTGCTACTAAGCGCTCGATTGGTGTCCAATGGGCGGAACACAGAAGTGACATCATTCACAACAGGGCTACTACTTCGTTATCCATGTATGCTTTGGACCCAGAAATTTCGGTAGACTTTGATAACGCCAAACTCCTCATTACCACTAAATTTACGGATCACATCAAATGGTTGGAACAAATGGAGATCTGCAAGGCATACAACATGTCTGAAGCTATTAACTTGAGGGATGAAATTACCCTATCCCTTGCATGGCAGGCCTTACTACAGAAAGAAGATACGCATTAATAATACGTTTCATAAATAGGGTGTAAACATCGTGCATAGGAATTTTTTAAACCGAACATTTTTTATTTTTTATTGAATTTATTTACGGAATTTGGGAATGCACGTGATTCACGTTAACGTTGAATTTTGACTTTTGAAATGTTGTTCGGAAAAATAATTTTTCGAATATCGCTATTTACTGGTCTTCGTTCATATTTATTATAAAGACGAATCGCTGCTTGGGAAAGGTCCTAGGGAAAACGTTCGCAGTTCATTTTACGATTATTTAATACCAGTTATTGGTTTTATTAAGTGGTTATTTTTATATTAATCCGGTAGTTGAAGATTCTTTATCTATAAAAAGCAGAAATTAACACTTTCAGCAAGAGCTGCATGTAACTCAAAAAGAGCCGCATTTGCCCATGTCTGTTATATATTGTTTAAATATATAAAGCCAGGAAAGTAAAATGATATATCTGTTTTTATATTGTTTAAATGTTAAGCTGATTTCTATTTGTTTATATTATGCAAATATTTTTCAGTGTTTTCTAATCACTCCTTATAATTCATTACATGTATAAAACATATACCTATTAATACTGCATTTTGTCAAAATACAGTAATAATATAAACTGTGTAATAAAAAAAAATTGCTTTTTTACATTTTTTACACATTTGCATTCAAAATTTGTTAGTTACTTTTTATTTAAAAGTCAATTACATTTATTATATCCTTTCCTTCTTTTATTTGTTTCAAATTCAATGTTATCTATTTTTTCTGGATATTATTGGCTTGTATTGCTTATAATTTAATATGAATTTATAAAATTGGTTTTACAGGATTTTAATTCTAAATTAGTTCATCTAACAAGGAGAGCCTATGGCTTTGGGGAAATGGATTTTGATAATCTTTGGTGTAGAGGTAGTACACCATGTGAGTGTACTACCTGTAAAATACTAAAGTGCAATACTCAAATATAATCGAGAAAAACGAACTTAAAGTTTTCTTTACCACTTTATATATAAGTTATGCGTACTTCCGTTTGAGTGAGCTGTGGTGTTGAGTGGTAACACTCCTGACTTGTACGCTTGCGTGCTCGAGTTTGATTCTCTTTGTTGTGTATACCTTTTTTTTTTTCCTTTTTTTTATTCATAAATACTTATAATGTATTTATTTATTTACTTATTCATTTATTTCTTATTATTTATTGATTTTTTTGGTTTTTTTTTTGATAATTTTGTCTCCTTTCGACAAAGCGGTCATACGTCCAAGAATCAATCAAATGATATTTATC